CAGCAAGGCATTTACAAATATATGTTATAGTTCAAGAGCTTAAACTACAAAATAACTATTAAAGACACCACACTGCAGGTTTTTTTAAAATCTCATCTTCCTAGGATTGCTAGAAATAAATTTGCTGATTAAAACAAATCTACTTGACAGTTAGCAAGGCAACCCCCTCCGCCCGCCCTCAACTCTATGTTCCAGGGATGGAACTATAGGAAAAAATTTGATTGGAAGGAAAATCTGGAGATCACCTAGTCCAACCTCCTGCCCCCCTGTTCAAAGCAGATCAACTAAACGAGGCTGCTTAGGGCCTTGTTAACTGTGGAATCTCCATCCTTACAGATATTAAAAAAAACACTTTGGGCCCATGTTTCAATATTTGACCACAGTCATGGAGAAAAAATTGTTTCCTTGGAATTTCCTGTGTTGCAACTTGGGCTCGTTGCCTCTTGTCCTTTCGCTGTGCACCTTCAAGAACAGTCTGACTCCATGTTCTCTATATCCTCCTCATTAGGTAGTTGAACACAGCAACAAGATCTCCCCCTTAGCCTTCTCTTCTCAAGACTGAACAAGCTCAGGTCTCTCAGCCTCTCCTCATGGATCAAGTGCTCCAGACCCCTAACCATCTTGGTGGCCCTCTGCTGGACTCTCTCCAGTATGCCAATATCTTTCTTGCACTGGGGAGCCCAAAACTAGACACAATACTCCAGATGTGGTCTCACAAGTGCCAAATAGAGAGCAAGAATCGTTTCCCTCACCCTGCAAGCTACACTTTGGCTAATATAGCCCAGTATGGGGGTGGCCTTCTTTGCTGCAAGGGCACACTGCCAACTCAGGTTTGACTTGTCCACCTGGACCTCCAAGTCCTTTTCTGCAAAGCTGCTTTCTAGCCAGTTGGCCTCCAGTTTACCCTGTTGCATGCAGTTATTCCATGCCAGGTACAGGCCTTTGCATTTGCCTTTGTTGACTTTCATGAGATTCCCATCAGCCCATTTCTCCAACCTGTCCAAGTCCCTCTGAATAGCAGCCCCTGCCCTCCAACATATTGACCACAAACTTGCTGAGAGTGCACTCCATTCCATCATACATGGATATTAATAAAGACATTAAACAGTATTGGCCCCAGTCCTGATCACTGTGGAATGCCACTAGTAACCAACTGCCAGTTGGAATTTGTACCACTAATCACAACCCTTTGAACCCAATCATCAAACCAATTTTCCAACCACCTTATAGTGCACCTATACAGGCCCTATCTCACCAGTTTGGTTATAAGGATACTACAGAAGATTGTCAAAGGCTTTGGTAAAGTCAAGGTAAATGACATTCACTGTTCTCAGCTTGTTCACAGAGCCGATCATCTTGTCAAAAAAGTCTATGAGGTTAGTCGGGCATGATTTGTCCTTACTAAAACTATGCTGGTTGTTCCCAATCACCTTTTTGTCCTTCATGCACCTGGACAAGGTTTCCAGGAGACTGAGGTTACCCTGGTCAGCCTGTAGCTCCACAGATCCTCCTCCTTGCCCTTCTTGAAGATGGACATGACATTAGCCTTTTTCCAGTCATCAGGAATCTCCCCTGATTGCCATGACCTTTCAAAGATGATACAACCTTGCAATGATATCGGTCGGCTCCCTTAGCACCCTCAGATGCATCCCATCTGGTCCTATGGACTTGTATACATGCATTTGGCTTTAAGTGCTCTCTAACTTAATCTTCCTCTACCATGGATAACACCACCCCGATAGACTGCCACTAGGCTCAGAGACCCAGGAGGCCTGAGGACAAACCTTACCAGTAAAAGCAGAAGAGGAGGAGGAAAAAAACCCCTCAGGTACCTCAACCTTTTCTATGCCCTTTGTCACTAGGTCTCCACCCCATTTAGCTGTGGGCCCACATTTTCCTCAGCCTTCCTTTTGCTGCTCATGTACTTATAGAAACCTTTCATGTTGCCTTTCACATTTCTCACTAGCATCAACTCCAGCTGAGATTTGGCTTTCCTAACTGTATCCCAGCACGCTTAGGCAATGCGTTTATATTCTTCCTAGAGTAGCCCATTCCTGTTTCCATCTTCTGTGTACTTCCTTTTTGTATTTGAGCTTGTCATGTGTCCCCTGCTCATCCATGCTGGCTTTCTGCCATGCTTGCTCAGCTTCCTACACATCAGAGTGGACCATTCTTGATCTTCAAGGACAGCCTCCTCAAAAGCACAACCAGCTCTCCTAGGTCCCTTTGCCCTCCAAGGCAGTGTCCATGGAATCTTGCCAAACAGATCCCTGAATAAGCTGAAATCTGCTGTCTTGAAGTCCAGCGTTGTGATTCTAATATTTGTCTTGCTCACTTCTCTCAGGATCTTAAACTCCACAATCTCATGGTTGCCGCAGTCAGAGCTGCCTCAACTTTTACATCCTCAACCAGGTCTGGCTTGTGAGTAATGAATCCAGCAAAACATTTTCTCTGGTCAGCTCATTAGTCACCTGCATCAAGAAATTGTTGTGAAAACACTCCAGAAATCTCTTTGATTGCTTGTGCCCAACCTTATTGCCCTTCCATTTGAAGTTGCATGAAAAAGCACAGAAATATGGAAAGTAATCAAGGCAAGAACTGCATCCCTTTCTAGGAATAAGAAACAAGTCAAAAATGTGCAAGTATACATCATACATTTATTATTGAACAACTCTCCAAAATTGGGCACAGAGATTAAAAATAAAAATTCATTGCACTACTTAGTAAAGCATTAGTAGTAACTCATAAAAAAGTACAAGTTTTGTTAAAAAATTATCAAGCTTGCAAATGATTTACAGATATTTATAATACATTTAAAACATGTTAAATGACACAATAGAGTATGATTTTTAAGAAAATGTTTGACAAAACCCATAAGCTTTGATAATAATTAACAAACCAAACAAATAGCAAGATGAGGTAACAATGTACCAAAGGGAAGGAAAAAAATCCCAAAACCCACATAGCTCATTTATAAAAGTCTAAAGATAACTCAGTCAAAAATGTGTTTTCCAAAAGCAAAATAAAGAGGTTGGTAAATCCCATTCCAAATATTTCTCAGCTGTTAACTCATCTTGTAATCACATTCAAGAACCTGTACAGAAGTCACACACAACAAAAAGATTTACTTTGCACAATAAGATTTCTATAAAGAAAACCATAAAATGAGACCTTGGGGATATCTGTAGGCCTTGATGCTAAAAAAAACCACAGGAGTGCCAATATGTTAAATCAATAACATCTTTTTTTTTTCCCCATGTGTTGCGTGAGTATGTCAGGAAGGCAATGAACATGTGTCTTTCTGGATTCCGATGCTGCCAGGCACCACAGCAGGCTGTGGCATTAGATACAAATGTGCATAACACATGGCAGATAATAGCTGAACATGAATTCTCTTCCCCTTCTCTTTTGACAGCCGCAACAGGAAAGACTTGGTTGTAGCTGGTCTGATCTGATTCAGAACACATGCATATGTGCTGTTTATACACATTAACCACAGGAAGCAAGTCTGCACACATCTGCAAGAGTCCCATACAAACAGAAGAAACATTCCAGAAGAGATCAGCCACAGGATTGCAACAATTAAATTCAGTATTTTACCAAATTAGATCCTCCATCTCCTAAATTTCCCGCTGCCTCAGAGTTTTACTGGGAAAAAAGGGACAGTACACATTAATATTTCTCCAAATCCAGAAAGAAGACTACTTTCCCCTTGGTATTCGTAAAATGTGCCTTGTTCATTATGCATTTATATCTAGCTTAGAACAAGTGCCTTCTTTTCATGCTTCAAACAAAGTGAATATTGAGTGTAGCAGTGTTTGTTAGGGTTAAATCTGTACAGGTAGTTAGTCTTTTTTTTTCCCAGATATATTAAAGACCCTAAGTATTAAGACATACGCAGCATACACTTTTTAAAATAACCACATTATTTCATTTGTTAAAAAAATAGTTTACTGTATGTGATCCCTCTGCCATTCAGAGGGACCTGGACAGGCTGGAGAGCTGGGCAGAGAGGAACCTCATGAAGTTCCACAAAGGCAAGTGCAGGGTCCTGCACCTGGGGAGGAATAACCCCATGCACCAGTACAGACTGGGGGTTAACCTGCTGGAAAGTAGCTCTGCAGAGAAGGACCTGGGAGTGCTGGTGGACAACAAGTTAAACATGAGCCAGCAGTGTGCCCTTGGGGCCAAGAAGGCCAATGGTCTCCTGGGGTGCATTAGGCAGAGTGTTGCCAGCAGGTGGAGGGAGGTGATCCTGCCCCTCTACTCAGCCCTGGGGAGGCCTCCCCTGGAGT